ATCAACAATGTCAAACCAATAACTATTTGTGGTTACATTTACTTTAGTTTAATACTTACAGTACGGTCCACGAAAACGTGCGGGTGACCGCTGCGCGCCTCGTGGCGATTTCTCTGAAAGCCAGTGTACCTCAACATATGATCCGTGCCAACTGCTGGTGTTGCAGCCGGCGCGGCATGCCGGCTGCAATACCGGTGAGGCAACCAAATGTTTTATATGTAGGAACATCCCTTTATATTGAATAAACTGCAACCGGTGTCCGGCACCCCATGTGCTATTTAACAATAGCATAGCACATCCCTACATTTTGAAATTGGAATTTAGATATAATAGTGGGGACTACAAAAAAAAAAATAGTGGCTTGAAACCCTGAAGCATTTAACAGCTATAGCAAACGTATCTCTGTCTTGTATCGACTCCACGTGCGTTTGGTGCTCCCTAGTCATTAGTTTTGATATTTAATGAAAAGTGTATTGATTTTCGCAATTTTTAATCTCACGTTTTAAAAATGGCTTCTTGTACACACAATGATATTCATAGCCAAAGTAAACAAGTGATTTTTCGCGTGTATACTATTTTCAAAAAACTGTCTGCTATGGAAAATTTATCAGCAGAGTTTTTTAAAAAAACTCAGCTCATTACTGCAGAAGCGTGTGGAGTCAGCGAACGAACTGTTCAAAAAATTTTCGCGGAATCAAAAAAATCTGAAAATGAAAACGTCACGTGTGCAAAAACTTTATTCAAATCGCCGAGAAAAACATATTATAGGAAAAAGAATATTACTGATATCGATGATTTCAACGCCGATGTAGTCCGAAGATGTGTCCATGAATTTTACGATAAAGGTAACTAACTCATTTTTGTAATATTTAAATTTTTATTTACTTTCTCTCTAATAAGTCAATAAATTACAACTATTAACTATAGCTTTTTTGAAAATTTTTTTTTAATATACGCATCAAGATTTTTTCAATACGAATATTCCAAGTTTCATAAAGATTGGATTGATCCATTTTAGATTCTGAGTGAAGCGATGAATGTATTGATTTTACAATGATGTGTGTTTTTTTTTTTTTATTTTTGTGTCTGTGTACACGATAAGTAGTGGAAATAATGCTTCGATTTTCGACTTCAGTATCTCGTTCGATGGGAAAGTGAATATCGTTGGTGCATTGGGGAGGTCAAAATTTAAATTTCCAAGTAGTTTTCAAAAGCGACGTGAAAAACAAAAGAAAAATTAAGGAAAAACGGGAATTTTTACGCAAAATCAATATTTAACAAAATCGATTTTGGTTATTGGTGTAACTCTAAAACAAATGACCGTAGATGCATGAAATTTTCACTGGTTGTTTATATTTGCATTTTCTATACACGATAAAAATTTTAAAATAATATGATTCTTTTTGAACTGTTTACGGACATTGTCAGTTTTCAATTTTTTTAGTTTTTTTTCCTATAAATATCAATAAAATTTTATTTGTTGGGTAAAAAGCTTGAAAATTTAATAGAAGACTCCTAGATTATTGTTTCAAAGGAAAATTAAAAAAATTTAAAATCCTTAGTCACCGTTTTTATTTATAAGTATTTAAAGTTCAAATTTTGACAAAATACAGAAAAATCACGAAAATTAGCAATTTATTTTGAGTTGAGAATTCATAAAAATTTTTCTTTTTAAATCTAAGATTTGAAAATGTAATACAAGATTCCTCATAAGTTTGTCTACCTTTATCAAAAAAAAAATGTCTACAAGAAAGTCAAATTAAATTTTTATGAGCGTTTGAAATTCATATTTTTACAACATTTGATATTCACTCGATATCTCATGTAACGATTTTCTTATTTTGTTTTAATTAAAAAACGTATGACTGTAGATACTTGAAAATTTCACTGAATGTTTGTATTAGCATTTTCTATACACGATTAAATTTTAAAAATAATTTGACTCTTTTTGAGCTGTTTACAGACATTGTCAGTTTTCAATTATTTTAGTTTTTTTTTCTATAAATATCAATAAAATTTTATTTGTTGGGTAAATTAGCATGAAAATTTAATATAAGGTTCCTGATATATCGTTGTAATAGCAGTTGAAAAATATTAAAAATACATATGCACAATTTTTTTTTTTATCAAAATATATCAAATTTATAAATTAATAATTATTTTGTAGTTAAAAATTTATAAAATGATCAACTTTTAAAGCTAAGGATTGAAAATTTAAAACAAGGCTCCACGTAAATAGGTTATAATATATAAATTAATTTATTCACAATAATATATCATCAAATATACTTGGAAATATCACAGGCTGACTGACCGTTTTAGCTCAAAATCGTTTTTCTTATACAATGATATTATATCATTGAATTCAAATTGAACACCATCCATTAAAGTGACCAACTTGTCACATACTGTACAGCAGAGCGACATCCACTTACCCACCTTTTTTTATTATATACCTACACTTCAATTTGAAAAATATAAATATGTTTAATATAATAATATTATTTATGTATATTTATTTACATAATTAATATTATTTAATTATAATGTTGTAAAAAGCTATGGTATTGATTAACACTCTGTATTTTACAATTTAAATAAAAATGAAATAATAAATAAAAATTATCATTGTAGGTGAATATCCAACTTCTGGAAAGATATGTGAAGCTTTGAAGACAAAAATTAATTTTGAAGGATCTAAAACATCCGTGAAAAGTATTCTGCAATCCTTACACTTTAAATATAAAAAGTGTAGCAACGGTCGGAAATTTTTAATGGAACAGAACGATATTGTGGCGCTTCGAAACACATTTTTAAGGAAAATGTGTATTCTACGTTCGAGCGGTGACACTAGACCTGTTATTTATCTAGATGAAACTTGGGTGAATCAAAACCACTCGAGAAATCATATTTGGCAAAATGAATTGGATCGTGAAGGATTTAGAGTGCCTATTGGTAAGGGTGGTCGCCTTATAGTATGACATGCTGGAGCAGCTAAATTTGGTTTCATTTCTGGCTCTAAATTAATTTTTAGAAGTAAAAATGACGGCGACTACCATTCACAAATGAATAGTCAAATATTCCATGATTGGTTTATAAATATGTTACAATTGTTAGAAGAGCCATGTGTCATCCTTATGGATAATGCTCCATATCATAGCGTTTTAGTGGAGAATGTACCAAAATCAAGTACGAAAAAGGCCGATGTTCAAAAATGGCTGACAGAAAAAGGTATAGAGTTTTCCCTGTGTGAAACTTTGGCTGAGCTCAGAGAGAAGATCAAAATGGCAAGACCACGAGAGAAACGCTACCAGTTAGACGAGACGGCATTTCAAATGGGACATGAAGTAGTTCGACTTCCACCTTATCACTGTCAATACAACCCGATAGAGTTGATTTGGGCTCAAGTGAAAGGAGAGGTGGCTTCCAAAAACACCACATTCAAAATAGCCGATGTTGAAAGACTTATGCACGAAGCCATAGATGCTGTCACTCAAAGTAATTGGGAAAGATGTGTAAGACATGCAGAAAAACTTCAAGAGGAAGATTATGCAAAAGAAGGTTTCAGAGATCATATAATGGAACCTATAATTATGACAATTGACTCCGACGACAGTAGCTGTAGTAGCGACGAAGAAAACGACGATTAACAATTTTTTATAATATTTTTTTTTTTATTTATTTGATTTTTTTTATATTATTAATTATAAAATAGCAGTTATCAAATTTATGTAAGGTATTTTTTTTTTATTGAGTACAATTATATACATTTTATAAAAAAAATATACGCATTGTACAATGTACATATAATATATGTACATATTATGTGTGTACACGATTAATTTCAAAATTTAGCGGGAAATAGTTTACCAACCACCGACGCAAAATTGCCACGAGGCGCGCAGCGGTCACCCGCACGTTTTCGTGGACCGTACTGTAGGTAGGTAGTATAATATCACAGAATACAAATTAGATGAAACTAATTTTGATTTTAGTTTTATCTAACCCGTGATAATACTACGTTATCCTTACTTAACTAGTTACCTAATTTTACTATGTACCAATAATGTTTTTAAAGATAAATTTTAATAAGTTTTATCCATGTCATATTAAAAAAAATTAAATTAATATTTATACTGGCCTTTTTAATTACTTTAAAGAGTATAATATAATATATTTTATTCAAAACATATTGGTTAAAATGTTAAATCTATTATTTTGATATATTTTTATTGTATTAGTTGAATGATGAATAGAAACAAAAAATTAAACTAAAAAAATAAAGTTTACAAATAGGCTACTTTAAAATGTAAAATAATACCTACCTACAACACACCCCACAAAATGAGATACTTTATAGTAGGTTTATTTTATAGAACTACTAAAATCTATGGTACCTACCTGCCTATCAATTGTTTTTTTTTTTATGTCTTACATACTAGGTACTAGAATAATTATAAAATCCACCATAAAATAAGTAATAATTTTATATATGTAAGTATGTATCCATCTAATAACTCAAGTTAAAATATTAATAATAATTGATATGCCTCCATGCATAATATATAAACAAATTAACTTTATTTTAAGTAATTTAACAAATCATATAATTACTATTATCATTTATCTTTCATATTTACTTATTAATTTATTGGAATATTGTTTTATTCTTATTTATTTGTAATCATTTAAAATTACCTGTATTTTTATAAGAAAAAATTTTTTTTATAATATTATTTCATTTTTATCTTAAGTTATGCTCAAAGTATTTATATTACTAACTTATATAGGTACTTACTGATGTCAACACTGTATTTGAAAAATAGATTTTTTTATAATTTTATCTCCTAAAACATATCATTATGAAGATTATGCTCTTTTTATAGAATACCTCCAATATGTAAACAATTTTAGTGTTAGATAACACTTTTATAGTGTGTTAATTGTTGTTATTTTATTTTCAGGTGAAGGATTTAGTATTTGAATATATTGTGAATGAAATGCGCCCATTAAGAACTTGTGAAAAAAAAAGTTTCAAAAGTTTAATTGTAGGACTTACTGGATCAAATGATGCTATAGTTCCAAGCAGAAAACAGTTATCAAAACAATTAGATTTAAAATATGAACTATACGTTTCAATGCTAATCGATTTAATAGCAAAACATGATTATATTTGTGCAACAGCCGATATATGGAGTGCCAATAACCGTAGTTACATGGGTATACACTACTTCTTATGCACACTATTAATATTATTATTTTATAATTAATTATGATTTATTTGTAGGAATGACTTGTCACTTCATAGACGAGGAAACATATGTTTGACAATCATATGTCATTGGTTGTATACGCATTAAAGGAAGCCACAACTATCAAAATATTACTGAAGTTATAACAGAAATTGCAAAAACGTACAAAATTGATCTATCAAAAATAACACATATGTCACAGATAATGCTTCTAACTTTGGTAAAGCATTCAGAGTGTTTTATTCTCTTCCAAATCATGAAGCAAGTACAAGTGATTTAGGAAATTTTGGTGAAAACAGTTCAGAGAGTTCAAATTTTGATAGTGGATCTGACTGCTCAGACTTGGATTCAGAAAGAGTTAATTTGAATAATTTGTTAAATGTGGAATCAAACATAGGTAACAATGGCAGTTTTTTTTTACCTCAGCATATGCTATGTTGTGCACATACATTGAATTTAATAGCAGCCAATGATATTTCTAAAATTTCTAATAATGATTACAACAAAATTTCTAAGTCAACTTTTAATAAACTATCAAACTTTTGGAATTTGGCCAGTAGAAGTACAGCAGCATCAGATACAATATATGACGTTTGCAAGTGTAAGTTCCCAGTTCCTGTGGTTACTAGGTGGAATTCATTGTATGATGCAACACAAAAAATTTCTAATCATAAAATAAATGTAGATATATTATTTGAAAAATTACATTTGCCTAAATTAAAAGTTAGTGAGTGGGCATTCATCGAAGAATATTGTTATGTTATGAAACATTTGGCTTTTTCGTTAGATAAATTGCAATTTGAAAAGAACAGCTACTTGGGTTATGTTGCTCCCACTCTTTTAGCTTTAAGAAAGTTGTTAATACAGTTCAACCAGTTAACATATTGTAAACCGTTAAGTCTCGCAATTGTGACTAGTCTCGAGAAACGATTTAGTTTTTTATATAATCTAAGTGAACCAAAAAGCAAAAGTTTTATAATAGCATCAATAAGTCATCCAAAATTCAAAATGGACTGGGTACCTGTTAGGTATAGAGATCTATGTAAAAAAATGTTTATCAATGAATGCAATTTGATGTCATCTTTAATTACTACAAATTCTGACTCTGCAGATAACAGTGATAATATGAGTGATAAAGAGTTTTATAGTAATATATTATGTGATCAAAATTCAAATCATGATTCTCTGGATGAAGAAATAAATGTTCAAGTGTTAAAATATTTAAATTCAAAAAAAAAGGAGCTACAGTTATTAAACAATTATCCTGTAGTTAAAAAAATATTTTTGAAGTACAACACCACCCTTCCGTCATCAGCACCAGTCGAAAGATTATTTAGTGGTGCTGTCCAAGTTTTGACATCAAGGCGAAATCGTCTTGGTGATGTTACATTTAACAAATTATTGTGTTGCCGATCCAAACAATAGATGTATTGTTATTATTATTTGTTATTTATTATTATTTATATATATGCAAAGGAAAAAAAAATTGTTACTCATTTTTAGTATGTTATTTTAAACCTTTACTATAATAATATATCATTCATTTTGTTCAATATAAATGTATAATAATTATGTTTGTATACTGTTTTATACTTTTATATTTATAAAGATATGTAATGTAATAAGTAACTATATTGTTTTATGGTTTTTTTTTTTTTATTTTAGCTTTTAACAAGAAGTTATAGCTCAATACATTAATCTTATATATATCTTACATTTTAATATATTATTTAAATATAATAATATTTTAGCATGGTTATAATTATAAAATAATCACTCCGTCCCCCGAGGTAATAAGATAAAGATATTAAAACCAAAGAATAGGTTATACATTATTATAATATAGAATATTATATGCATATATTCTGTGTTAAAACTATGGAATATAGCATTTGTGTAATATAGCAGTAATAAGGGAAATGGTTACTTTGTACTCATATAACTATATGATATTCAAAGTCTTTAATTTTACTAAATAATTTCATAAATATTTATTAGGTTTAAACTAAATGTATAACTATTCAATAAGAATTACAATAATACCACAGTTTCTACAGTACAAATCAAGTAAATTTGATATGTCATTTATTAGAGTCGGGATCTTAAGTATTCACCAAGTATACTCGGCGCACGTTAAGATCATGACCAGTCGCGCATTCAAAACAACTTCCTCCACCGCACATAGTGGCATAGTGGCAGTTGCCGGTTTCGTATACGGAACGCCTCATGCGTCAACAGTGTTACATGCGGCCCGTGTTACATGCGGCCCTTCAGGGATCCAAAAGCTGGTGTACTTTGATAAATAATAATAGTCAATTAGTATGATAATCAAATGTATTATATTAAACCAGACAAAACAAGCAGAATAATAGTGTTGATTGTAGCGAATTGTGGCTCGTTCCGAAGTTGATAATCTCCGTGTAAGTTGTGTGTGATGGCTGGGCGGCTAAGCGAGTCGTGTGGTGTTCTCGTCTCTGGATACATCTAATTTGTATTGAGGCCCTAGCCTCTATATATACGAATATACGAAGGCGACGCCCTTTGAATTGAGCGGCGCGTGGCATGTAGGCGCCCTTGGGAAGTTGTTGTGGTCCGAAGCGCTTATTCTAGCTATGACCACTTTTGGGTGTGGTCGACGAGGCCGCTTTCTACATAAGTAGTACTTGTTATTGTGAGCGTTGTACATGAATTGCGTAATCCCATTACACCTCCCCACCAAAAAAAAGATTGTTAACCTTTAAGGGTTAAGAATCTTTAACAATCATAGTTAAGTTAATTAATCACAATAGTTGATTTACAATTTGAGATACATTTGATTACAATTGTTATAACAGTTTACAATTTTGATTATACAGTGTAGACATTACAATTTTAAGTGTCATATATAATTACTGTTACATATTTTTTTATATATATTAAAAGTTATATATCGTGATTAGTACAGTGTTAGTTAGAACAAAATACATAAATTACTAAATAACTAGTATTAGTAAGAAGGAGCAATAGTCCTTCAAAAATAATAATACAGTATTGTACCTGAAATTACAATATTAAAAGTGTAAGTATATAATGTAAGTATATAATGTAAGTATATAATGTATAACGTTAGTATTTCCCCTTGATTACAATATAATAATTATTATCTTCAACCAATTAATTTATATAATAAATTTATATGAATAATTATTAAAATCGTCATACACATATGCAACCAAAAATTTACTTAGGATAGTATATTATATAACTCGGGTCCCTAGTTTTTTCTATTATTTCTGCTAAATGTTTACATTCTCCCTTACAGTGATCATCTATATATAGTTCAAGATTTCTTGTTATTTTATTTAAAGTTTTATGATCATAGCGGTTATTTAATCTTTTGTTGGCTTTCAATATATGCCTGTTAAGACACACTGACTGCATCTTATTTTCTTTTAAGTTATAGATATGTACTTCTGTTTTTATTATGTTTTTTAATTCTTCAACGAATCTAAAATAATATTACAAGTGTTAAATTATTTATTTACCGTAACCAAGTATATAGTTTATTTTCTAAGGCTTATTTATTAACTATAATAATTCATTTATTCTGATTATAATAATTTTTTTTATATTTTTTCGCTACCTTATATAAATATATGGGTCTCATTTTTGAAACAACATAATTAAATAGACATTTCGTTAAAACTACATCGGTAACTGGATCATGAAAATAAGTAATATTATGATTAGTTTCACACATTAATCCATGCGCCTCCGATAATCCTAACATTCTACCATTTTTATTCATTTCCCCTAAATACCCTGAATATAAAACTTCTTTAGTTTCTAAATTTGTTAATTCTAAATTAAATTCGTTTATATTTTTAATACTATATGCTGATATATTTAAAAATGCTACAATACCCTTAATTCTTAATCGTTTAATTAATGTTATGTCCGTCGTTCCATTCCAGAAAACTATTATTGGATCCCTATTGTCTATGTGCAAATATCTTTGCAAGTAAACCGTTGACAAGGTTGATTCCCCCGGATGGCTTACACTTTTGTATAACTGGTCCAACAGTGGTGTAATCACGCTTGCCTTTTTCCCTCGGAATACCCGCTTGATTGTTTGCACTATTTTCTTAAGATCGCATTTCCGGAATCTCCTTAACTTATCGTCTTTTGTAAGTATAAGGGGACTTCCTTCCAATTTCTTGGGCTGGTATTTTTCTAGACTATTTGAAATCGCCCCGGATACCAATAATGTTTCCTCTTTACTAACCGTAAAGAATTCGAAATCCACTATGAAAAAACGGATGTGTGAGCTAAAATAAAATTTATTATTTAACGTCAGTAACACTATAATTTAATAATATTATTATACATTTATGTTTTTTTTTTTTATTATTATTATTTTCTTGGAACTATATCGTTTACTGGGCTATTGCCACGCCTCTAATTATTAGTTGCTCCAACAACAAACCGATTTCTACACAAATGGGTCTGTTGTGGTCCGGTCGTTCAACCACCGTGTGTACGAAGTTGCATACATGTACCATAACTCTTTCCAAAACTAGTCTTGGAAAGGGGTGTGTCATGTCTTCATTCGCCCTCCTTAAGTGTCTTCTGAAACAGTGTAGGGTCACTGTTCCCCCTTGATTTAATTGTGTGTGGCGTGCTGTTATTAACTCTACTATAAGTCTGTGAAAGAATTCTCTTGTTTGTAGTGTTTTTTGAACTGTACGAGAAGTAGGTGGTGAGTTCCTATTCATTTTATATTTCTTATTTATGTAGGTGTGTTTTTAAATAATTTGTTCTCCTTTTAGTTCCTGAAATAATTAAAGTGGCCTGTTATATAGTTGTTACATCGTGATTATTGTAAGTATTATTCTTTGAATTATTTCGTTATGCAAATAATATTTATTTATTCTTGTGGTTATTATTTTATTAATATGTTACGTATTTATTTTCGTTTTGTATGTACTATATTATTTTATATATTTATTCTATTAATAAGTAAATAATTTGTTATGACTAGCGACTACTCTAAATATATTTATTTTATTATTTTTTTTTTTTATCACCCTTTTTTTTTTAATTAATTAATTTATCTTGGTGAGGGTGGTGGAGTGAAGGGTGTCTCTTCATAATTTCGTACGTAGTCATTTCTATTGGGTGTCCTATATCTAACTATTCTGCCGGGTAATTCCATGACTTCTGTGGTCCTAATATACTTGCATTTTATCATTATATAAATCGCTATTATTAGTATAATAGATATTACTGCCAGTATTATTGTTACATATAGTAAATTACTGTGTACAAATTGATGCTTTTGATTTTGTTCTCTTGAAAGTTCTTGGTTAATCATTTGTTGTACTTCGTCTAAAGATTTGGATGCATCGTGTAAATCTGTGAATTGCATAGCTAGTCCCTTTTCCCATTTTTCATCTGTTTCGAATTTGTGTATATGTTCGGGTATTTTTCTAAAATATTATTCATGTTAGTTACAGGTGTAAAGTCTTTATATTTTGTAATTTGGATTTCTTCCGTGGCAGTTAATACTGCGTCCCGTGCAAATACTTGACAACTAATGTCGTTTATAGCTATTTCTCCTGCTTCATTTGTTTGTATTATAAATGAGTCTATTAAGTTCGAGCAACTTACAGTTAAAGTCTCTTTTCCTGCGTGAATCCATGTATTTTTTCTTTTTAATTTTTGGTATATGCTTCTTTTTAAATTTATTTTCTTTACTGTACATAACTCAGGATTAGCATACGTGTCAGCTTTATAAAAGTTTTGTACTTCGCATGGTTGGCGTTCATTATTGTCCTGTATAGGTTGTGGTGTATTACATATTTTGTATATTGATGTTTCTTTACATTCGTTTAATTGTTGATCTGTGTATGTAGTAAACCTTTTATAGCCTTTGGTTACAGCAATATTATTATAAGTAATGTCCATCATGTACCATCCACTAGAATTATCTTGGTTATGACGCATCGGTACTGGTGTTAACCTGTATAATGTGAGTTCAGTGTCAATAATTAGTGGTATTACTATATCGAATACTAATCTGTCGTTCGAATAGTAGATTCTTATTTTTGTAATTTTTTGAAATTCATTTATTTCATATCTCTTTGTTCCCATCGGAATACTGTATATTTTCTTTATATTTTGTTCTATTGCTTTTAATGTTGATGCTAGTTCTTGTGGTGTCATAAGACTTGGATGTATCATACCTTCTCTAGCGGCAGTTACTATTTGTCCTAATATTTCTGTTTCGTAGGAATATTGATTAATAATTATCGTATATAAATTATGTATTTCATTTTTCATTAGTAAATCTAATATATCATTTGTTTTGTTTTGTAATTTTGACATTTTTTCGTTTAGTTTTTGTTCCTTTTCCGTAATATTTTTGTATAATTGTTCGGTTTGAT